TACCCACTCCGTGGAAAACCAGCAGGACCGTGTTGCTGTACAAGAAGGGAGACCTGGACGACATTGGCAACTATCGCCCAATCTGCCTGCTGTCTGTAATCTACAAGCTATTCACTCGAGTCATCCTTAACAGGATCGGCAGAATACTAGATGAAGGACAGCCATGCGAGCAAGCAGGGTTTCGAAGAGGGTTCAGCACGATCGACCATATCCACACGGTTACAAGACTCATTGAAGTTTCACGAGAGTACAAGATGCCGCTTTGTCTCACGTTCATCGACTTGAAGAAGGCCTTCGACTCTGTGGAGACAGAAGCGGTCATCGAAGCCTTGGGCAACCAGGGCGTCCCTACTCAGTACATCAAGATTCTTCGTGAGCTCTACAGCAACTTTACGACCAGAATCTCACCATTCTACAAGGAGGTCATCATCGACGTCAAGAGAGGGGTTCGACAGGGCGACACCATCTCGCCCAAACTCTTCAGCGCCGCTCTCGAGAACGTCATGCGTCAACTGGAATGGGAAGACATGGGAGTGAAGGTCGACGGCCGGCAACTACACCACCTTCGTTTTGCTGACGACATCGTTCTTATAACGCCGAACATCGAGCAAGCGGAGCGAATGCTGGCTGATTTCGACTGCGCCTGTGGTAAGGTTGGTCTACAGCTGAACCTAACGAAGACGATGTTTATGAGAAACGGATTGGTTCCTGATGCCCCATTCACGCTCAACGGAACGAACATCACCGAATGCTCCAGCTACGTGTACCTAGGTCGGGAAATCAATATGATGAACGATCTAGCTCCAGAGCTGAGCAGGAGGAAACGAGCGGCTTGGGGAGCGTATAAGAACATCGAGGGAGTAGTGAAGAAGACGAAGAACATCCGGCTCCGTGCCCACCTCTTCGATTCCGCTGTCCTTCCTGCCCTAACCTACGCCTCAGAGACTTGGACTCTGCGCAGGCAGGACGAGCATGCGGTCAGCGTTATCCAACGCGCTGTCGAGAGGACGATGCTAGGAGTAACCCTACACGCAAGTGCAGAGGGGAATCCGGAGTGCCGAACTACGCCAACGATCGAAGATCAGGGACGCTGCCGTTTTCGCCAAGGAATCGAAGATAAGGTGGGCCGGACACGTCATGCGATTTTGCGATGACCGTTGGACCAGAGCGGTTACCGACTGGATCCCTCGGGACGTCAAACGAACACCTGGACGACCGCCGGCCCGATGGTCAGACTTCTTCACGAAAGCTCTGAACGAAAGGAATGAAGGACACCGTGTCCCTCGAGCGAGGAGGGTCCACTGGACAACTCTTGCACGCGACAGGGACGAATGGAGACGTTGCTGGCGCCCGCTCGAGCAATTCGATGATCAACGGGACGACAGGTGATACAGGGCCTTGCTTTTGCCAGACACACGTTGATTTTCATTTCTCAGTGTAGAGTCAAGGTTGATCTTTGTTCCCGCTTTCTTGCCAGCCATCCTTAATGTTTCTCTTCTCTGCATTTTCCAACATCAACATAGCGCTTTAGCCCGAACGCTTCAAGCACACTTTCCCATTCGCTCGCCGCTTTGTTTTCCAACAAACATCCTCTCATGTGCACCCCTGATCCAGTTCCAGATAAGGGATATCGCAGATTCCTTCTCACATAACTCTCTGTCTCAGATTTTCCCTCATGTAAACAATAGCCCATCAACATATGATATACCAGTTTTGCTCCGCCCGCTATCGCGCGCATCACACGGCAGGCTTCAGTGAAACCGAAGGATCCATGGAATATCAGCATGAGGCCCTCCATTAGCCACCTCACTATTGAATGTGTTAGACTTTTCCCAGTTTCGCTGAAGTCCATCGAGAATACGCGTGATAACGTCTGGAGCTGAACTGGCATATTATCTCACAACTGTAAACATCCAGCATTCTTCTTGAATTCAGATAATTTAGCGGTGAATAGGATTGCTGTCAGTCTCAAAATGAAAATGAAATATGCCTGTTTACATAAGTGAGGAGCTAAGGCTTATCATTTATTTACATTCACCATTATTTAGAACCCCGAAAGGATTAGCGGTTTAATGAGAGTTTGGGCTTTCTTGATAGGAACGAAAGTTATCATTTGCTGAAGACTTGATTGAATTCATGCAATAGACTGCTATTAAGTAGGCTGGTCATACAATGATACAGTGTGCACGTACCACTACAAATAGAATTTGTAAGTAGGGACGCTCTGTGTCAACGCGAGCTGGGTAACGGAATCGACGACTTTTGCGTTCTGACGCCCTTATCAGCCCTTATCAGTTGCTATCGCTTCCATTCATGTACCACCAATGTCCCGGGACCACCCCACATAACACTTGTAAGTATAGACGCTCTAGTACCAATATGAACGACAAAACGAAATTTGGCGATGCTCGCTTTCTAGCCCCTTATCAGCTATTATCAGTCGTTATCAGTTCCTATCACGTACCACTTGTGTCCCCATCCCACCCCCTATAACATATGTAAGAACCATGGCGCTATCGTTGCTGTGACTCGAGCTATGAATTTCGTGACAAACACACACACACAGACACACACAGACATACTTAGCGAATTATATATAGTAGGATTCTTATCATGATCTCTTGGTCTCCCCCTCACTTCTTTGAATTCCTCCAGGGTGACGGGTTACGGTAATCGTGGCCCCCTCACTGGCTGGCTCCGCCCTTCTCCCCTTTATTAGCGACTACATAAGATGGTCGCCTGTCATTAACTCGGTCTTCTGACACCACTCGGCATTGCCGAAGCGCGGAGTGACTCTCAAGCGGAGACGGTCTGGTTGACCCAACAAATTAATGAAGGTAATTCCACTCTTTTATCTGGTCTTAACCAATGATTTGCCGCCGTTGGAGACCGCATTAATGCTATTCCCGTAGTCGCTAACGTCAGCCCTGAATGGCCGTTACCAAGAATTATTCCTTTTAGCGGTTCAGGTGAAGATCCTATGCAGTTTTCCTTGTGGCTCAGACACCTCGAAGATGTTATGCGCATGAGATCCACCACTTGGACCTCTCAGCAAAAGGCATATTTTTGGATTGGGTACTTAGATGAAGTAGTCAGAGAGAAGGTCTACGAATCTCTGGTGAGGAGCGGGACGACTACCCTACCGTGCTTGCACACCTGAAGGAGGGACCACAGCACCGGTACATGGCTCATCAATCACTCTTCGCTTGTCAACAACAGATCGGTGAGTCGGTCCACAGTTTGAACGATACCGCTCACCTCGTAATCAGAGAGTTCGTAGACCTTCTCTCTGACTACTTTATCTAAGTACCCAATCCGAAAATATGCCTTTTGCTGAGAGGTCCAAGTGGTGGATCTCATGCGCATAACATCTTCGAAGGCGTCTGAGCCACAAGGAAAACTGCATAGGATCTTCACCTGAACCGCTAAAAGGAATAATTCTTGGTAACGGCCATTCAGGGCTGACGTTAGCGACTACGGGAATAGCATTAATGCGGTCTCCAACGGCGGCAAATCATTGGTTAAGACCAGATAAAAGAGTGGAATTACCTTCATTAATTTGTTGGGTCAACCAGACCGTCTCCGCTTGAGAGTCACTCCGCGCTTCGGCAATGCCGAGTGGTGTCAGAAGACCGAGTTAATGACAGGCGACCATCTTATGTAGTCGCTAATAAAGGGGAGAAGGGCGGAGCCAGCCAGTGAGGGGGCCACGATTACCGTAACCCGTCACCCTGGAGAATTCAAAGAAGTGAGGGGGAGACCTAAGCAGGATCCACTCCGATCCAGAATCCTACTAATACTACCCCTCACATCCGCCCCTACCAGCTACCCTGCTCCTGTCGTGTCCTGTTAGCTGCTCGTGTGTGTGTCTCTCTCACGAACCAATTCGTCCGCTCGGCGTCACAGCAATGGATAGGCCCATGTCTCTTACATATACCTTATCCACCGGGTGGGCGGAGACTCCAGTGGGTATGCTAGTAGGAAAGTGATAAACACATCGATAATCAGCTATAAGAGGCGCTAGAAACGCCGAGCCATCGCATTCGTTTCTGATTGCTTCATACTCTAAGTAATCCACGAGGGCGTCCCTAAAATAATTCAAACCACGTCGCATCATCGTAAACAACTGGTCCAGGGCCCACCACACCTGGTGCGACGCACGTCAATGCGAAAAACGAGTGAGCACTGATAAGGGCTGATAGGGAGCGTCAGAACGCAAAAGTCGTCGATTCCATCACCCAGCTCGCGTTGACACCAGAGCAACCATTCTTACAAATTCTATTTGTAGTGGTACGTGCACACTGTATCATTGTATGACCAGCCTACTTAATAGCAGTCTATTGCATGAACTTCAATCAAGTCTTCAGCAAATGATAACTTTCGTTCCTATCAAGAAAGCCCAAACTCATTAAACCGCTAATCCTTTCGGGGTTCTAAATAATGGTGAAAAAATAAATGATAAGCCTTAGCTCCTCACTTATGTAAACAGGCATATTTCATTTTCAATTTTGAGACTGACAGCAATCCTATTCACCGCTAAATTATCTGAATTCAAGAAGAATGCTGGATGTTTACAGTTGTGAGATAAATATGCCAGTTCAGCTCCAGACGTTATCACGCGTATTCTCGATGGACTTCAGCGAAACTGGGAAAGGTCTAACACATTCAATAGTGAGGTGGTTAATGGAGTACCTCATGCTGATATTCCATGGGTCCTCCAGTTTCGCTAAAGCCTGCCGTGTGATGCGCGCGATAGCGGGCGGAGCAAAACTGGTATATCATATGTTGATGGGCTATTGTTTACATGAGGGAAAATCTGAGACAGAGAGTTATGTGAGAAGGAATCTGCGATATCCCTTATCTGGAACTGGATCAGGGGTGCACATGAGAGGATGTTTGTTGGAAAACAAAGCGGCGAGCGAATGGGAAAGTGTGCTTGAAGCGTTCGGGCTAAAGCGCTATGTTGATGTTGGAAAATGCAGAGAAGAGAAACATTAAGGATGGCTGGCAAGAAAGCGGGAACAAAGATCAACCTTGACTCTACACTGAGAAATGAAAATCAACGTGTGTCTGCAAAGCAAGGGTGATGGACCGAAATGAAAATTATGAGTAAAAATTTATGAAAGCTAGTCAACCTTGTGACGACGAGAGGATCATTCGAACTTGAAGTCGGTTTTATTATCGGTGCCAGTACTCCATACATGACCCAATACTGGCGAATTGTCTCTCCGTTGAGTTCCTAACAAGGAAGATCGTTCAGGGTGTGCCAAGCTTTTTCAAAACGGTCTTTTGCATGATATAGGGGCACATGCGGGAACCACAGAACCATGGTTAATTTTTCCTGAACGGCCCTCTGAATACCAGAAAAGGGGGTCCCTAGTCACACCTTTTTCACCAGTTTTTCAATCAAAGTCTATTTGTAAGGGTTACTGACGGTCCTAATCATGAATATGGTACTAATTATTCATGCTAACTCCATTTTGCGCGAATTTTGGAAACGTCAACTCGAAATGCAAAAATTTGTCACCACGAGGAATCGAACTAGGGACCCCCTTTTCTGGTATTCAGAGGGCCGTTCAGGAAAAATGAACCATGGTTCTGTGGTTCCCGCATGTGCCCCTATATCATGCAAAAGACCGTTTTCAAAAAGCTTGGCACGCCCTGAAAACCTCCCTGGTAAGTGTTGATGAGCGCAGCACAGTGCTTCTTGCCAGACCCCTACAAAGAGCGAGGCGCCTGAAAAGATGTGCCCGTAAATCGACGTTTTCCATCAACGGACAAAGGGCTGAAACTGAAGGAAAGCGAGAACAAGTTAAGACTTGTTAAAGATGGTCATGTATTTGCGCAACAGAACAACCATGGAGAACCCGTTATTAATTAGTAGTTCAATAGTTCGGGTGCGGGACTTTTGGCTCGTCCGGGGTTGCACGCGGCAAGTCGCGCGGCAACTTGCGCGGCGATTTGGCCGACTTCGTTATTTGTCATTGGGGCGATAAGGGTTGTCACTGGGGCGCACTTCTCACTTATTTGTCGCATGATTCGTTGTTCTGTAGCCTAATAAGTTCTAAGCTGCGCTTCGTGCTCTCGCCGTATCTCAGTTTACTCTTTTTTAAACTCGCTCTCGTGTTATTCACTCACTTTTGCTCTGAAAGCTGTCACTTCAACCTATTATTGTTATTGTGCAGGGAATTAAAAGCGTGCATTTGTTGGTGTAACATTTCATTCTGATTAATCATTCTCGTAATAGCCTTGCACGCGCCTTAATTGTTGTGTTTTTGTACTGCTGCTTTCAGTGAACTACTTGGCTGCATTAACGAGCAAGATGTGAACAATATGAAAGTGAACTCGTCAGGAATACTCTATACAAGGAACATGTCGAGAACTTTTCTAATTTCTGTAAGCAGATTGGTAGTACTACTGCTGAGGTTATCCGTTAAAATCTCACTGTGAGTCCAACATATCTTATCTCTTTTTTGTGTGTTTTTATTAGGAGTTCGAGTGTTTCCTACAGGAGCAATATTTTTAGTTTGAGGCTGAATCTCGTTTTTGTGTGCTTTTTATTAGGAGTTCGAGTGTTTCCTACAGGAGCAATATTTTTAGTTTGAAGCTGATCGCGGATCCATTATTATCACAATTAGCTGACTTGACACAGATCTGACAAAGAATATTGTGAGGAACTATATTCCAGATGTAGCAAATTGTACCGAGAAGGTGAGCACATTGATTGTTTTTCTTTATCTCTTCTAAATATTACATTTCAGGATTTTTGGTCCACAAGCAGACGTCTATGACCAGATGAAACTAAAATGCGAATACTGTGCGGATTTTTCCGAACGCATCAGTGATCTTTCTGGTGGAAAACGCTTTATTGTAAATATTTCAAAGATCAGGTTTGTGTTCACTTTTTTAACTTGAATTATTTTCGAGCGCGGGGAGCAATGGATTTGGGATTGATGGAATTTATGAATATTTCTACAGATAGGGTTGTATATGTCAGTGTCACGGTTGTTGTGGGCGGATAGTGCATGCATCGGGCTTCTGTTTCATTTGTCACGTGTAGCACATATTACTTGCTAGAAATATGGGAGTACAAGTCACACAGACCTTAGTTTTTGTTCTAGTCATCCATTGCTGGACTCAGTGCGTGCGTTTCTTTTAAATACTTTTAGCGCTATGATCATTGCCTGAGTGCTACACATACCATGCAGTTGAATAATAGCCATCTTTGTAATGAGAGTGAAAATAGTTTGATTTCAGAGTTTAACTGGAGTTCTCATAAGTTACATCAATCGTTGGCAACCTTTGCCACTGGTTACACCTGTCTGCCGATAAATGCTGCATTGACGATTACTGTTCTGAACTCATTGTTAGGAAGACCAGCCTCCGAAGCATAGGTTTGCTGTCAGCATTACTTTCTTTTCTTCTATTTCAAATCCTACTTGGAGATTTTTCTTTTCAGAAGATTGAGGATTTCGAAGATGAGCTGCAAACCTAGATTCTAGGGGAACATCCTATTCAGACAGAGACTACTGATGAGCAGGTTGGGGCTTTTGTAAACAACTGTCCAAAGCGGAAGTGATCACTGTTCTTTGCCTGTTCATTAGTTCTTTTTTGCAGGTATTGAGGCATTTTAGCTTGAATACTGTTGAGTGATATTTACGTGAACCTATTCTGTCTTTATTGATCTTGTTTTGTGTGATGAATAAATTTGTGGCTGTGAAACGTACTGGTGTGCAAAAATCAAGGGCGATTTGGACAAATCGACATAGCACATTAACAATTCAGTGGATTTGTACGAAAATGTGCAATCTTAACGATGAAAGTCTTAAAGTATAGGCATCGAACTGGATCTCTTATATCGCTGCCGGCTTAAATCTGAAGCCAAGATTGATTGGCCACGCAGCAATGAGAGGTTTGGTGGAGAGCAGTATGGATAGTGCTGAGCAGAGAGATTAGATGATTACTGTGGAACGTAGCGTTGTCCTTGATTACAGCAAGTTGGACATACAACCCGGAAATCATTTCACGCTCGGGCAGTCCGATGATGTCGTGCTTGAACTTCCTGGCTTGCATCATCAGGTCTTCGATGTGAGCTTCGGATGCAAGCGTTCGTGCGTTGAAAGTACAGATCGCCATCTTAGTCCTTCGTTTAGGCAGCCTATCCGGGCCTGAGATTCTAGCAGCCTCTTCCGAGCGGTCCTACCCAACGCTACTGTATTGGGGGCTCCCCCAATCTGTGTTCCTGTTTTGTTCTGTTCAGAAATGGATTGCAATAAAACGTTGTGCACATAATGTGTGTATAGTTGTAACGGTTATACCCGATACATACCTTTCCGAGGTCTGCAATCAAGGTAGCTCAATTACTAGTGTTGTGGCTTTGTTTCAGCGCTCGAAAATGTATCAGCAATCGTCATTCTACGACGAGAACAACAATGTTGTGGGAGCCGATGCACATCCCAATGAAGGGACTACTGTGCAGAGTAAGTTATTGGTGTCAACGCCCGGGAAGTAGTTACCTCAAGATACAGTAGGCAGCAAAGTTCCGATTGCAGGAGGAGGCGACAGTGGTCGCGCACTGGCTCTGCCAGCTGAGGCGTCGGGTAAGCATGCATTGAAAGGACTGTAATAAAGCCCCTTTTCACTATAATCACAGTGTGACTTTAGCTTCTGCTGCGGCTGCTTCGCAGCCGTCGACTTCTAATGCCTCTGTGTGGTTCGAAGGTGATAAGCGATCATCATCTGGCTATTCCTAAATGAATGCGGAACTTGTAATGTTATTTATTCCCTTCAGAACTCAGTGGGACATCTGGACCCCGCTCTCATCGGCGCGTATCCCTTCAAGGGGAACTATTCCATGGTGTCGTTGAGGCCAGTAAACACGGTACCCATCCTGTTATAAGGTACCCCATTCCAGGTCAGTGTAGAGGACATCGCAAATATCCATGCAATTGCCATCTATCTATTGCATTTTAAGGTGGACCGCTGTGTTACGTTTTTGAATATCTACGTCGGACTACGCAGAGGCAAGTAGTGTACCGCTGCATTGGGTGCAAGAGGAATCGAAGAACCACCAGTGTTGCGGTACTGAGTGCTTCTATCGTCAGTTATATGCTCCAAATTGACATATATTTCAGGTGCTGAATGGATCCGACCTTGTCGGCGACCCAGCCCTTCTGCCTCACGTGTGTCTGCCCAGGAAGAATGCGCAGGATCGCGTGACGCGAATTGTCTATAAGGTGAGCAACAGTACACAGGCCCTCCATCCTTATTTATCACGATAATTCAGACCTCAGATTGATTTTATTCAGTCCTGCCAAGAAATTGCGAAGGATACGCGACTTGTTAACGTGAGACCGAGGGAGCTGTGGCAGAACATGGCGGAGCAAGTGCATTACCAGGAAGGCACCGGTCAGCTACATTCTGGACGACCGCCTGCAGTAGTATATATAGTATTTCAGGTGAAGCGGAGAGGAACGACATGCTGCACTTTTTCCACAGGAACGGCTACGAGGCGCGTAGAAAGACTGTGGCGAGGTAGAAGCGCTACCATGTATAGTTGGACGTGTAGCATCGGTTATGATGGTTTTCAGGGCTGTTGCGAGACTGCACGATTACCAGGTTAATATGGAGAACGTGCCGCGGCAATACGCCTTCCTCCCCGATGGCACGTCGTTCCTTCAACATTTCACCCCGGAACTCAATATTTACTACTCTGCCGCAATTTTGGAGGTCGTTGCCACGTGTTTCAAGCTGTATTGGTCAACTATGCCATACTCTTGAGTAACCGCTTTCCTTCATTCCAGAAGGCATGCCAGCTGGGCCTTACTGCGTTGGTGGCGGATGGCGTTCACGACTTATAGCCAGACGCTACCAACAAGACAGGGCAGCTGTATACTGTCCACGGAGTGGTGGCGAACTCCGTGGATATCCGCTTGCTCTTTGCCATAACCATCGGGTATCATGTGTTTGTGAATAGAAATTGCGATTTCGAGTCTTCTACCCATAATGTTCTTCCAGGAAAAGTGAAGAGGTTTACGACGTCATCTTCGGAACACTCAGAGACGCCATTGCCAGAGCTGGAGGACCACAGCAACTCCGCATCCTGCTGGATTTCGAAAATGCCGCTATTAATGCGGCAAAGAGGTGCTTCCCAAGTGCATCGGTGGAGGGCTGTGCGTTCCACTTGGCTCAGGCCTGGAACAGAAAGAGAGATGCACTTGGGTTGCGCCCACAGGTAAAAGGGTCTCAACGGAGTAGACGCGTAAAAAGATGGTGGCATACCATCAAAGGGCTAATTTTCCTTCCGAAGGAGCTACACCGTAGAGTCCCGGCCCTTCTCCGTCCCCCTGTACCCAGAGGACATGCCGCGCACTTGAAGTGCTGCATGTTCCTGGAATATTTACGTGACAATTGGTACCGGGGTCCATTTAGGAACATGTGGAACAAATGGAACGTGCTGGAGTTGCGCACCACCAATATCGCGGAATCTTACCACAGGTGCTTGACTAAAATTGTAGTGCCTCATTTCTACTTTCATAATAACGTTTCAGGCAGCTGGGTAGGCGGTTCAGGGAAAAATACCCTCGTATGAGCGATCTACTCTTTGCTCTGCGAGGGTACGTCACTACTGCGAGAGGCGATCTCCTCAACATTGAGAGAGTTGGTTTCAAATGTTTCCTGCTGAGTTCCGTGATGAATATATCAGTTCCAGAGAAGGGAGGAGAAGCGTCTCAACAAGAAGGACGTTCTCCGCCGCCGTCGAATTGAGAGGGAGATGTCTCGCTTTGCGACAGTATTGGAGGAAAGCGGGAACCTCCCTTCTGAATCAGCTATTACAGAGTTCTGCCAGAGGATGTCTCGTTTTGTTACGGAGAAGGTCGTCTGAAAGGTAAAGTGATGTGATGGCGCAGTCGGTGACATCAATGAAAACTTGCATTTTAGATCAACCGTCGAACCCTTGATGCATTCTTCTCAATCTCATCTCCATTCCTAGTTTTGTCGTAACTCTTTCGGACCCGTTATTGTCGTACTTCCACTGGCTACACCGTAGTCGCACTTCGCGATTTGCGCTTTTTCGTGTGTTGAAGTCGTACGATTCAATGCGTATCTTCTACACACTCCTAACCACAGCAGTTATTTTAACAACTGGTCCACTGCGTATTCCTTTCCTTTTGGTGCAGCTTAGTAGTGATACAGCTTAGGTTCTTGTGATAGAAGAGCTGCTAGGTTTACCCTTAGGAGAACCGTCATGTATGCTATACCGTAAGAAGAAGAACACACAGCAGAGCATTTGTCAAAACTACTGCTGTCACTAGAAATGTGGAGACGATACGTATTGAACTGCAATCAAATGCGAATCAGCTGCAATTGTCCAACTAACCTTAAAGATACAAAGTGAGAAATAATAAGTCCGAACTGGATTGGAGATGAGATGCGAGTAGAGAAATCCATAGCGATGAAGGAGATGCAGGAGAAAGGATAAGTTCTAGCACATATTTATTCATCTTCTCTTACATTTCGACGTTCACACTATTAACCGCTTTTTCTTAGTTTTTCTGACGTCACCATCTTATGCTTCCCCCCAACTACCTGATTTCCGAGGCACGGTCCATGCAGCTGTAATTTTGTGAGTTCTACTTGGGCTCGTTCCGAGGTTGTTCTTTCTTTCAGTATTATATCATAATGTTCTTTGTTTCAGGTATTGCCGTTCCTACCAAAACGCCAGTTTGTCAACTCCGCCTTTTCTCACTTTGGACACGGGACACTCTCTGAGGATCTGATCGACAATATCTCACATCAAAACCATTACATTTCTCGACTTTTAACTCCCTACGGTATTGGGTGATTAGTACAGGGAAACTGAACTTCCAGCAACGTCACATCATCTCCCAGCCTCGCGAACAAATCGCTCGATTCGCGAAATCTAACACGGACCTTTATGGTGTTTCTGGAACACAGTCAAAGATCACCTCAACAGATTTATTACAAAGAAAAAAAGACAACTACAACAAATAAAGTGTCCTCCTATAACAAATACAGGGAATGGAAGTTCAGGCAATGGGATTACTTGAGAAAGAACATTGCTTATTTTCTATTTTCTCAAACAGCTTCTATACCTGCAAACAAAGTAGGCTTATAATTTCGGGAAGTAAATAGTCAATCATGTAGATTGTCCTAGAGAAAGAACTAATGGCTACTTCTGGTCAAAAAATGTAATAAATAAATTACCAACCTTATGAGTTTTGCATGCGTTCAATGATATCCTTTCCGAGCTGCGGGTTACTCTCGCATCCGCAATTCAAATTATATCCTGAAACGAAGAACTCCATGTCCTAGGAGTCACAACAAAACGCATAAGACGATTGACTACAGAATTTTGAATGCGTTCAATATAAATTACTCTTCACTCGAAATAGGTATTAGCCGGTTTCGAATTTTTCAGCGACTTCACTGACTCACTCAACTCATTCAAGCATTATAATATGTATCTATACTTGTATACTCTACTTGTATCTGCAGTACTGTTTCGCATGCAAAACCAAAGCCTTAAAGCTTCTTTAGATAGCGTCCGCCGGCACTGAAACAACGGGTATATTGTTGCCATCTGCTGCGCTGCCTTAGTTGCCAGACTTCAGAATACCTGCCGATTATTCGTTGAGAGCCGGAGCGATCTGTAGGGCAGGGTCAACCGTCCGTTCGAACTGTTCGAACGAAGGGGTCGCATTTTGGTCGGAAGGGGGTCGCAATTTCGAGGACTGCCAGCCACAGGCGCGTGCGTGGCGTATCCGAGGGCAAGACTTGCTTGTGCAGACCGCATTAGATTCGATTTATTATGCACAGAGAGACAGTTTTAGGCAAATTACAGTGTTTTCTTGAGGAATAAAGAACAGTAGTCTTAAAGAATAAAGAACAGTAGGATGCATCCCTATGAAAGGTTTGACTTCTCGGGGCTGAAAACAAAGTTCTTTGGAGACCTATTTTTTGGGACGCTTCTTCCAATGTACTGTGAAACACTTAAGGAAGCGGAAATCTCGTAGTCTTCACAATGTCTTTATCCCTCTCCAACAAGCTCTTTGAAGGAAGTTATCATTGCTGAAAGCTCAAAAACTCGCATGTGCTGCTCAAAAACCCATGGGAAAAAATGTTCGAACGTGTGATTTTCTCGGAAAATGAATTTTGAAAAACGGTTTGGTGCTTGTTAGAAAGAGCAAATCCTGTACTTTCACCCCATGAAAAAGTGCATCACAGAAATGAAAATGAAGTGAGTTATGGCCCGCTGAAAGCCCAAAAACTCGCGATTTCAAAAAAAGTGTTCGGCAAAACCCCGAAAATGTTCGAACGTGTGATTTTCTCGAAAAATGAACTTTGAAAAACGGTTTGGTGCTTGTTAGAAAGAAAAATCCTGTACTTTCACCCCATGAAAAAAGTGCATCACAGAAATGAAAATGAAGTGAGTTATGGCCGCTGAAAGCCCAAAAACTCGCTTTTGCACGAAAAATGTTCGAACGGGACAATTTTTTGAAAAAGGGGACAATCACTAAACTTTTTATACTGTTTTGTTAGAGAAATATTGAAGTTTCTGAAACTTTTTACAGATTTCCAAAATGTCGCATACGAAAGATATTATGGGCCTTCAAAGTTGAAGGTGCGCCTTCTTAGAATTTTGGGTTTTCCACTTCTAACAGAAGTACTTTCCGGAGAGTTAGGCAATCCTTGTAGTTTTCTGAAAGCGCACCTCAGGCACAGTCAAAATCTACCTCAACAAGTCAAAAAAAGTTACGTCCCGTTCTTCCAGCGCCCGGGTGATACCTGCCGCGCCCAAGGCTGACGCCGCAAAACAGACGCTTTCTGCGGCGGTTCCTGGCGCAACGGATTCATGTCTAGCACTCTTATTAACAAAAACAGGGGGTCGCAACTGGACCCCTCGAGAGCTAGGGGGTCGCAAAAATCCCGAAAATGTTCGAACGTGACGGCTGACCCTGTCTGTAGGAAAGAGGACCTAGGTTCACCAGAGATAGTGATTGGCAGATATAGTAAATGGAGCCTGTTTAGAAGAGCCTAGGTGGCTCTACGGTGACTGCCGTAGTGAAGACAGCCTCAGTGGCTTAGGTGTGAATACCATAGAGGCTCAGGAGATGAAACCTGTGCGGCTTGACGTGTGAATAATTTTGCACGCTGCATCTGAATTGTGAAACTTCATTCCATGTCGCCCTTCGCATTCGGTCAGCACAACTTGCTTCCGACTTCTGTCTTCTTCTTACAAGAATCTATTCTAACTGTACATACCTATTGATTGTGTTTGTTACCGAAAGTGGACAGAATCATCTGAGTCCCATGGGGACGAATAGGGAACTTATTAGGGAGGCGGAGTGGAGCTGTTCAAAGAGAATTTTTCGGAAAATATGAATATGACAATTGATGATTGCTGAATCAGCTCCCTTATCCTGTTTGCTTTTTATGTGCTGTATGTAGTATCCAACGATTGGAACTTTCGTATTGATTCTTTCGAAGGGATCACAAAGGAATTTCAGGAAGTAATTTGCCTGCGCAGTATTGTTTACTTTTTAATGAGTCGGCTTTGTGCAGGACCTCGTCGCTAGCCTTCTGTCACTTCTTTATTGTGGATTAAATATGTTGATGGGTCTCCCCTAAATATTTTGACCTAGCGTTCATGATACTCCAGCATCAAGCACGAGCGAGATATTTTCGCGACATACAGTGGCGACATTTGTGTTTGTGGGACCAGGATACCCCTGTTTCTGAGCCAGTTTCAACTCTCAAATTTAAAACAATTGCTGAAAGATTGAGAATCATGGGCAGCAGCGACCTTCTGCTCACTGATCTCTTCGGGATTGTCCTAGATGAAAAACATGACATTCATTTTTGAAGCACAATTTCCATTTGTAGGGTACGGTATGATCTCGTTATGTAAGTTCTGACGAATTGGGGAATCGCAAAATAGTGTCGGAAAAACCGTGAATACTCACTGAGATGATTGCTTCCTGACTTGTGATGTTGGTTGAATACTCATTGAGAGGGTTTCTAGAGAAAGTGCTCAGAGTAACACCTGTTGAAGACCCAAGATTCGGCCTTGTAGTGAGCTAACTTTTCTATAACTTTTCAGCCGAATCAGAATCTGGATCATTGTGCTGAATTTTCGACTTATAGTATGCATTATTTGTAACATCATTACCATGAACGGCTGCAATCCCGGCGAGCCGACTCGTTCAAAAATATTTCAGGCAACCTAGACTACACTGGACGTAACTCGCCAGAAATCATGGGAAGTATGGAAGAGTTGTGGTCCCTGTTGAGCAGCTCAAAGACCATCAAGTGTCAAAGTAAAATAAGGTCGTTATGCATCTCAGTTCCCACTTGATTGTGATCTGCTTCGTAAGGCGATTTTCTCCTCTACTGGCTAATGGTAAGCTTGGGTTAAAAACTATGAGGTTTGTTAACTTTTGACAGCCTCTGCACGATGAAATCATTAACTACAATCACAGCACACGATGTCTGCTTGTCAATTGTTTACAAAACCTTTTATTTGACTGTTGATGGATCCTATGAAACTGTCAATGCACACAAACTTTGAAAAAGTGGGTTGAGAATGACAGCTAAATCAATTTGCTGGTGCAATGCATAGCGCCTCATCTCTGCTGCAAACGCAACCTTCGCACTGGCAGTCGGCGTCAGTTGTACATGGATCTCCTTTTTCGTAAACTACAGAACCAAGAAGATTTCCACTGAAACACTTGGCAAATGAAATGGGCCTTCTTATTTCGCAGCAATGCACTTACGCGGGATTATACTCGCACGCGGCGAATGTCATGTCAGGGCACCAATACACCGCGCATCCAATCTTGTTACTCCACTGCCAGGCCAACTGAAACAACTTCTATTCTTGTTCATCGAGTATTGTCGTTGCTTCAATCCGCACCTGCGTATAATGGCCAACGTTTCTATATATCAATTCCATGGAAAATTGCAAGTCGTCAGGAACACCAAACAATTGTAGTTCCAAGAACCAATCCATAACAGCCTGAAATAAGCTGTTACCATGCCTTAGTAATTGCATTTGAAGGCATCCACATTCTCACGTATATTGCAGACGCAGTTTTGTTCATTTGTTGTACGCCTATACTCCATATGCTCTGCCCCCAGTAGTTCCTTTCTTGACGTGAGTCCAAAGGCCGCTGCCATCGCGATCGGTTGAACGCCTTGAGTAACGTGCGTGCTCAAAAACGCATTTTTTGACATACTGCATCGTGTTTGCTTCAACGTCACAATCATAAGTCTGAAATGATGATTGTTAGAAAGAGTGAAAGCTACATCCTTTGAGAGCCCATTTGTCATCTATGGTTCTCAAATCCTTATTTTAATCGCAGAAAAATACTGGAAACCATCGCAGTCGTACCATCTTCAGCATCCTTGCCGCCTTTGGAGCGTAACCGCCGAGCTTATTTTTGGCTTGTCCTTTGGCAATTTGTGAGCTAGACAGTTAAAGATAATTCGACTTACTACCCTTTGCTAGTGAAGGCTCAATCTAAAGAGGACGCACCGATACATATTGTGTTGGTCAACGAAAACCTGTCTTAGTTCATCATTCATTCCATCGGCGTCCGAGCACATGGCTGAAATTGTTCCTTTTGCAAAATTTTCGACTTATGATTTCATGAGCATGGTACTTACATGCCCATCCAGATGTGACGAGGAGCGTCTGAAAGCGTTTACTATGATGAGTGATTCGGTAATAAAAAGATTGAAAAGGTCAGATCCTACTACCTACCAAGTACGTAATCGTGGCAAGCGCTAGCATGCTTTACGATGTTTATGCATGCCTTCTGACACCACACAGACCTTTTATACCCTTATTAGGGAAGTGGGGAGTGGAAAGTCAAACAGAATATTCCAGAACAATATGGCAGTTGATGATTGCTGAACAAACTTTCCTTATCCTGTTTGCTTTTTATGTATTATATTTATTATCACCAAACAGAAACTCCGTATTGATTTTTTTCAAGACGAATTAAACGCAATTGGTTGAGATTTTATTGAATGCGTCCTCTGGCAAACTCGTGATGTGGATATTATCGAAGAGTGTCAAGAGTTTGTAAGAATATAATACAACTTTATCAATCTGGGTACGGGAATCAAATTTTCTTTGAAAGTTAATGTTATAATATACGCAGTTGAAGTGTTAATCAGAATTTTCATGCTAATCATGGAGGAAGTGAGCCAGTTTCCTCTTATAGAGTCAACAAATGAGGACACTTTTTTATCTGTGATACTTTGAAGTCTCTGATCACTTCTAATCTTTTTCTTCTGCACTTCGTTACAAAGTCGAAAACCTAGGTTGTGTTAGTGCAGCGCCTTGCAGGCGCAGCTCAGATTCTTTGACGGTGACTCATGTGTTGCTCTCAGGGCGTGTTGATGGAGCGACCAACTTCTTCGAGAAGTCGACCTGCTTCTCGGATCCCGACCTCCTCCTCCATGTCTTGGGCGAAGCCCTGCTCCCTCGAGGACTAGTGATCCCACCCATGTGGTGCTTGCTCCTGTCTGTATGTATTTGTTCTTTTGTGTAGTTGTGCCTTTTTATGATGCCTTACTCGGCGGACCACCGTCGAACTCATGTTCTTTTGATGTCTCAAGGATGAAACTTCAGTTAATAATAAGTCTTTCTGCATAAGGAGAAATTTAGCACCCATCGCTGCGTGCGCTCGCTTACTGGTAGCAGTGAGTGGTTCACCCCTCGCTGTAGGCAAGTCCTGAAGCAGGTAAGTTGTTCACATGTGTCTGGCCTGATTGTGCCGAAACGAGACGGCCGCTCGATTTCGTTGGCTAGCCAGCACGTGGTAGAACTTCGCTCGCATGGTTGGCCTCAGACAAATACGACCGTAAGCATGTTCAAATTTCCTTTTCGTTCAAACATCTTTCGTTGTTTCCCGAAGTTCATAACTCCGTACTATCTCACTCAAAGGCTCATGCAAACAATTTTTTTGATCATCTGGTACGGTAGTCTTTGTCCTGTGAGTTCATCGAAATTTCAAGCGCTTCCCGTCCTTGGAAATGCGGGTTTGCCGAGCTCGAGGAATAGTGAAGTGAGGTACTGTGTTCGTCCCGTTGGTTCGCGTTCATTGTGAAGTTGCAGACGGAAACACCCGAACATGAGTTGTCGTGTTTGAAGCCGCCGCCGTGTTTTCGTCGCGATTGAAGTTGCGTTGGGATGTTAAATATATGGAACTTGCGGCGAGGGATGCCACCGGTGAGTTGGATTTGGATGTGGTGCCACAATCGAGTGATTTACGTACGCCTTCTAAATAAAAGTTCCCCTAAAAAGAGATTTTAAAAAAATTTAAGAAAGGGGATGAAAATCGTTGTAGTAGGCACTAAAAAGGTAGCTACTGTTCTCGCCCACAGATGTTTGTCCCGATGACTTTTGGCTCTCTCTCACAGCCACCTGCAGATGCGTGACCCGCCAACTGCGGCCTCCTCGTCCGGAGTTGCACGCGGCAAATTGCGCGGCGAAATCCGCCGCGATTAGGGCGCGACATCCACCGTATCTCGCGTCGTTTGCTGTAACGTTGCGTAGCTTGGCAGCTTGCCAATCAACGAAATCCTCAACTCCTTTACTTTCTGCTTGCTTTCTTTTTTGTTTGTAGTGTTTGCAGAACAATGCTTCTTTTATTCTCTGCAATAATGTCTGACCATTAACCTCATGACTGTTATAGTAGTAGCCTTTTTGCTAGAATGCCAGTGCTAATGATTGGTTATGAGGCATGGGGACAAATGTTCGCATATTCATACCTTTCTGACTTTTTCACAAACAGTTTTTTAAAGAATTCATATCACACCTGACATTGATATGCGCCGCGCTGATTGCTTTAAGGTATGTCTTCTAATGTAAACGAAGGTGTTTCCCTTTGTTCGTTTTCACGCGAATTGTTTCAAAAATCAATTTCGGCCGTTTCCTATTTAGTTTCATATTGGATCATTTGTAAATAACATTTATTTCAGGTAGGCATGATGTACAAAGATGAACAATAATACTCTGATAAATTTGATTGAGAAAATGTTCACGAAAGATAATGGTAAGTATGGAGAATTTGATTAAATGTAGGTAGTTTTTTTTTGTGGTACTACTTTTAATACTGATGTGGCAGTAGATATGTTTTATGGGTATGCAATTTCCTTTCAGGTTTGACAATATGGTGAACACATGCTTGGCGCAAAGTTCGAATTTCGTTAGGAAGACTGTGCGGAAAAATGTGTCAAAGCTTTGCATGACAAATGGTAAGTGTCACGACATCTTAGACGATTTTTTCAATAGCGAGACCTGCGACTGCTGCTGGACTACGTAGGGCAGAAGAAGATGTAGACGATTTTTCAATCATTATTTATTTTTTGTACGTGTACTAACAAACATTCTGTGTTAGGTTGTCACCCGTTATTGATCTGCGAGAAGCGCGTTGCCATCAGTATGAACTTGGTGTTGCCAACGAAGTTAATTTATGTTGTTTTACGCATTGGATCACCGACTTCCTACGGTAAGTGTTCATTACTGTGGTGTTCACGTTGAATATTTTCGCAGAGATGCAAGTGCAAACTTCAATCGAGAATAACGAGGCATGCAAAATTGATTGAAGTTGGGGAATAAGACACTAAGGATAATTCTTTTCTTTCTGCTATTCAATCGCTCAGAAAATGAACATGGTGTTTAAGCTCCGGCGTGTGTTCCCAAAGCATGTAAGAGTTTTTGAGAACAGGTTTTGTTTGAAAACGACTCCTCCCCGTTCCCTTGTTAGCATTTGTATTTGCTACATTTGTTATACTATTGGCGCATTTGTAAGAATGGTATATAGTTT